TGTGTGTGTGTGTGTGTGTGTGTTACCTGACTCTCAGCACAGTGAAGGATCCGTCCTTCATACCCAGAGCCAGCTGGGATCCGTCCACGCTGAACGCCACGCTCCGCACCGCCTCCTCCATGTTACACCGAGCAATAAGGGCGTGATCCACCAAACTCCACAACCTGATCCACAACCCAGACACACACACACTTTAATTTTTGTCTCTGACATCGTGTGGGACCCTTGCAGCCGTCCTGTTGACCTGTGCTAACCTGACGGAGCGGTCGTCACTGCCGGTGACAGCCAGAGGTTTTTTGGGGTGAACGTCCAGCGCCCAGAGCTCGCCCTCGCTGTGTCCTTGCATGATCAGAAGCGGCTTGTCCCGGTCCCTCACCATCACCTGGACACAGACACGTTATCAGTCCAAACCTCTAAACTGTGTTTGTGTTCCCCGTTAGTTTCTTCCTCACCTCAAAGATCTCGCTGTCCTGCGTTCCTGCCAGGATCCGGTCGGCTCGCCAGCAGACGCTACGAATAGACAGATCTGGGCGAGGAAGAGGAGAAAGAACTGTTTCAGAGATTATTGATGCTATGGTCAGTGAGAAAGCTCTGACGGTCCTCCAGGAGTTTCTAAGGATCTTTGGAAAGGTCACTGAGAAGGTAGAAGTACATCAGCCGCTGAAGAGGTCGCAGCCAATTTGTTCTTTAAAAAGTTTCTTGAGGGGATTTGATGGTCTTCCAGGTTGTTTGACACCTAAGGAAGAAGTTCCAGACATCGTTCTAATCAAGATTCATGACGCTGAAGATGTTCGGTAGGCTCCCGGTGGAACGTCAACGTTAATGTTGGGACACAAATAAATGAAAGGATGAAAAAGGAGGACAAAAAATCTGAGGAGTAAAGGAGCTGGAAGAAGATAGTGGGAAAAGAGAGACGGGGAGAAGAAGATGTGTTATTGATCAGAGGAGATTAAATCCAGCTGGAACAAGACTGAAGCAAAAGAACGAGACAGGGCAGGAAACAGAGATGTGGACAGACGACCTCAGGTCGATGAGTATTGACGAGGAGGCGTTTCAGATTCATTAACTCAGGTAATGAACTGGAAATATCACTGTGAATCATTCCACTGACCTCCACCGTCCTGAGCTACACTCACAGTTAAAAACGTACAGGAAGTGGGATTCTGCTTTGAACAGGAAATTCACTCGAGACAACAGCATCAAGCTTCTCACTGTCTCTTATGTGTTATTAATACATTTTGGTTGAAGGAAAGTTTCTTCAAAGAATTCTACTTCACATCTTTTCATGAGCTCAACGTTTTCTATCAAGGTCAAAGAAAAGTGAAAACTGCAGCTCTTGTTTCCTGCTGATTCACGAATGCTAACATACGGTAGCTGGTCCCACACTAGAGGATAATCAGACTCTGTGTTTGATTCACTTTTTCCGGCCGTTGTGGGGGCGTTGGGTTTTCAGGGCTGGTCTGTCTCTGGTCTCAAAGGTTTTTAAAATAACTTAATATTTGAAAATCCTCTGGTGTGCAGCAGATGTTTGGAAGACACCCACTTGATTTTCTGAGGCAGCTGAAGAATCAAATTAAGTCTTGAAAACAGTGGAGTCTGATTCCTCACACAGGAAACCATTGGAAAGTGGTAATGTTTAATATCACCACTGTTTTGAGATATTCTGACTTCTTTCGGCTTCACCAGCTGGAACTGCTGCAGGTTCTTACTTCTTTTGTCTTAAAATCTTTTATCAAAAGGAAATCGTTTCCAGCTTTTATTTACAGAGACAGAGGATTCAGATGTGAAGGTCTGGATCTTTTCAAGCAGCGAGAGTTTAACTTCTAACCAGTAACATAAGGAGGTAACACATCAGACGACGAGCGAGAACAGGAGGAGAGAATTAACTTTTGTTCTCGGCTCCTTCCAGCTCTAAAACACTCCTGTTCCCCAAGAATATAAAACCTAATAAGCAGAGCGGCTCAGCAGCGCAGCACTCGCCAATTAGAGCGTCTGCTGTCGCTGATGCCATGACTCAGCGTGTGATGTTTCCCCTAACTTTGTTAAGAACTCCTCCCTGGAGGCGCACGAGCTAAAACAACCTGATAACACATGAGTCTATGAAGCAAATTGGAAATAATTGCGGGATTTTTGTGAAAAACTCAGGATAAGTGTTCATTACTGTGAGAGAAGAGGGAGGAGGTTTTCTAATAGCCTGGAGAAAGATTCACACTAACAAGATCACTTCAACACAGATGGTTCTCACTCTGCTTTTTAATATTCTGCCTCGTGTTTTCAGCTTCGAACGATTGGTGAGTTGAAATATCAGCAAACAATCTGAGAGTGACTCCATGAATAAATGAGAAGTGGTTGATTTCTCAAAGTGAATCTTTTTACCAACTCTGCTGAGGTAATGATCTCCACCATGTGTCTGTTTGTCAGCAGCCTGAGTAGATCAGCAGGAGACAGGACGAACACATTCTGCAGTGGAAGGATCAGTGCTCTTGTTCACAGCACAAAGTCTCACATACAGAACCTCCAGAACGTTTCAGGAACATGTCCATCACTTCAGTGCAGGACTGAAAACAGCTGGAGTGACGTTATAACTGAGCATTAAGTTTATGGTGTGTCTGTCTGTCCATTTGTCTCCTGTGAACATGATAACCTCAGAACAACTTGAGGAATCTCAACTAATCTGGCAGAATTCACTTTGGACTCGAGGATGACCTTATTAGAATGTGTTGGTGAATAACATTTACCAGCGTCAATAAAATACTTTGAGAGGCAAAGTTAAATCTCTAACTTTCCCAAAATGAGGCCAACCCCAAACTCCAACAGGGAGCAGAGAGGATGAAGCTGTTACCTCCGTCATTTCATCTCTTCTTTTCTAAATCTTCATAGAGGGGAATCAAAAGAGGCCAGGGTTTGATGGTTCACCTCTCTTCTCCCAAAGGAACAAAGACATTCACCTCCTCCAGGCTTTTTACAAAATTAGGTTGGTTCCTGTCCCCCAGCTGAAGACAGAAGATGACAAACTTTCACAACTCTGCTCCACTCGTTTTGTAAAAGCTTCTTTTCAGAGAAGAGGCAGGATGACAGACTTCTCTTCAAAAGAAGACAGCGATTGAAAAGAAGGTGCACTTTTTCAAAAACAGAGTGAGGTTTCAAAACCTTCGAGAAATGACCCTTTTCTCTCCTTTTCATTCTTTCCTCCAAAAGATCTAAAATGTGGATCGTAAAAAACGTGGATACAAATCACTCTGGACTCCTCTGGCAGACAAACACAATGCAGATGCAGTGGTCCAGACCAACGGTCCAACAGACCAACGGTCCAACAGACCAACGCCCATGTCAGACGCCGTCTACAAACCAATCAACCAGTCAAGTATAGATAGACTCCGCCCATATAGGTGATGACGACAGGACGTACGTTTGTCAGATAAAATTACAATGTGAGACTAAAACTAACGGATCAAATAAAACTATGAAACAAACACATGAAGCTTCAGACTCAGAGTGAAAACTTAAACTACTGATTCCTGAGGTTTGAAAATGAATCACGATGTGAAAGTGAAGTTTTGCTCCTTTAAACAAGGACTGACATTAAGGTTTAAACAGCAGGTCAGAGTCTGTTAGAGGTTACAGAGACTGAAAGGCCACCGCTCTCATTAACAGGAGAGGTCTCTGCTTTTTTAAAGGTCTTTCACAGATGCTGATTTAAAGTTCATGTCTTTGTACGACACACTTCTCCGTCCTTCCTCCAGGAAGCGGGTGAATACTTTTATCTCCACCTGTTGTGAATCTGCGACGTGTCTCTGAAAACACCATCGTACGTCAGAGTTTAGAAGTGAACAAGGCAGAATGAAAACACTGATCGAGACAGAAACACGATTAATACGTGAACCTTTCCGGTAACGCGTGGTTCTAGTGTTTGTCTGGTGAGACATCGTCCGGTCGGCAGCGTACCTTTGTATCCTTGCTCCGCCTCCCGCAGGTCGATCTTGGTGATTGGTTTGAAGTCGACATCCCACAGTCGCATGCAGCCGTCTCTGCCTCCTGTGGCGAAACCTTCCTCACAGGAATACATGCTGAAGATTCCAGCCTGCAAACACACACACACATTAATACTAGCCTCTCACTGTCAGTATTGGTAATTAGTAGTAATCATGTGTATCTGTATAAAGGTCATATCTGTGCTGTAGGTCTCCTGCCTCCTCAGCAGGTTTGAGTCTCACCCCGTGAGCGGCCTGAATGGTTCGTATCAGGCTGAGTCCCTTCCAGACGTAAATGTCCCCATTGAGCGCGCCAGAGTACGTGATGTCATCTTTAGCAGACGCCACGCACAGGATGGTCTGCAGGTCGCCCGTCTTCCCGAAAATCCCTCTCTTTGCAGTGAGCGAGTTTCCGCACAGAGACCAGAACTGCAGCAGAGAGGGACGAGAGGAGTCAAAATGCTCAGGACGTCGCTGAGTTTCCCATTAGTGTGGCGGAGGGCTCGAAACACTACAATACCCATGAGCCTCAGCTGCAAATTCAGACCATTCAAACCCACCCACCCCCGCTCAGGTGTGTATGAGTTCATTTGTGTGTCCATTGTGTGTTACCTTGATGTGTTTGACTCCGCAGCTCACCAGACGGTGTTGTTGAAACGGATCCCAGCAGACGTCGAAGATCTGAAGGACAGGAGAGACGATAAAGCACACACACACACACAGACCCACACACAGTCAGTGTAACACACACACACACACAGTGTAACACACACACACACACAGTGTAACACACACACACACACACACAGACACACACACACAAACAGTCAGTGTAACACACACACACACACTTGCTGACCCTGTCCGAGTGTCCGGTGGCTGTAGCCAGGATCTTTCCTCGCTTCCACTCCCAGATACACACTGTGTTCTTGGCATCCAGGCCGACCGAGGATAACCGCTACAGAGCGAGAGAGAGAGAGAGAGAGAGAGAGAGAGAGAGAGATGAAAAAAAAGTCATAAAAACCATAAATAACTAGAATGACTCCTCGGGGCGGAACTCCTCTGCCAACCAATCAAATTGCAGGAAATAGGTTATGTCATGAACATCACAATTTTCAAACATGGCCGACAAAAGCGTCCTTTCAATCCTGAGCAACGAGGGCTCCGATGGGCGGATCCTCCGATGGGCGGATCCTCCTGAGGCCGACGTGTCCCAGGATTCATTCGAACACAAATCAAAGTTTCTCCGAGGTGAAGCAGCGTCGGTGCAGAAACTGTAAAACGTTCCAGGTCCAGACGAATATTCTGACTCTGTCGTCCAACTCACAAATAAATCTTTTGCACCCAAAGCCAGAGCACTCGATTTATTAAGTTAGATTTATGATTATTTTATTGATCCTGTGTTTACTCTGATTTACTCCGAGTCGTTAAGTCATTGCAGCCAAAATTCAGGCCAGAGGCTCAAACTGCAGACGCAGCAACACCAGGATCGTTCGTGAAGTTAATTTATGAAGGTTCAGGTCCCACTTTTTGGGTCCGAATACAAAAATCAGGAAGAAAAATGATCACAAAGTAATAAATGGTGGCTCCGTGAATGAAAACTCCTGGTTCCCAGGACAGGATTTACATTTACAGTGTGAGACAATGCGTCTACAGATCCGCCCTCTATCCAGAAATGAAGCTCCGTTGTAATTCGGGACAGTACAACCATCACTGACGTCCTCTGTCGAGTGATGGGAGGAGAAGCTGTTGGTAAATGTTGTAAATCTGTGACTCGGTGTAAACATCAACAAACAGGTTGAGTCACAGTGACTCGGAGGCAGCGTCACATCTGTCAGCTTAACACGACGTCATCTTCTAAACGAGTCCTTCTCCCCCTCAACGTGTCAATCAAACTAAACTTCTCCAGAGGCCGACACAGGCAAAGACCCCGACTGTGAAGAAGAGGAGTTAAATAAATGTTTGTGATGAGTTATCTGATGATGTAAAAATGAGCTGAGACGTCATGACTGACAGCTGAGATCGACTCCTGATTGGCTGAGACTCCAAACGACATCACCAGGACAAGATGGCAGCGTTCGTGTCGGGGACATTTTACTTTCACTTCTGGATAGAGGGAGGAAGACGAGTCGTCCATCTTTATTATTCACAGTCTGTAGTTACAGGTAATTGAAGTTATGGAACCAACGTGATGAATAACCATCATCATCATCATCATCATCATATTAGTACCATCCTGCTGTCCTCCCCCGTCTTTTGACCTGCTGTGTGTGTGTGTGTGTGTGTGTGTGTAGCTCTATTCTTCCATGACCTTTATGTTGATGTATGAGTGTCCTTTAATGACAAAAACTCTGACACACATTCTGATCATGCATCATTTATCATGCTCTGTGTGTGTGTGTGTGTGTGTGTGTGTGTGTGCGTGTGTGTGTGTCACCTGTCCATCAGAACTGAACGCGAGGCAGGCGATGCCGTGCGTGTGTCCGTCACGGAGCAGGGACACAGTCTGGACGGTGAAGGAGTCCCACACACACACGTAGGGATCCTTCCCCACCTGACCCGTCGCCACCAGGGAGCGCTCCGGGTGCAACGCCAGGCTGAGAGGGGGGAGGAGGGGGAGGAGGGGGAGACAGCGGAGTGATGGGGGGGAGATACAGATAGGGAGACGAGAGGAGAGAGAGACATTTTAACACTGCTTTTGTGTTGTACTTAAAAAACTTGTCATAAAGCTTCAAATGAAAATCTGATCTAATATATTTATTTATTTATCTGATGATATTTTATTCTCTTCTCTTGTGTCTGTGAACTCAAACAGAACAGATCTATAAATAAATAAGAGTAAAACAAGTGTTCCTTAAATAACTTTTATAAACACACACACACACACACACACACACACA